TTTGTAGAGAATTTCAAGCGCTATCTTTTAGTATAAAAAGATGTCCCGATCTAATGGATAATAGAAGAGTTATACTCAAAATACGAATGGTATAATTTATTCTGGGACACCCGTTATAAACGGCAGTTTAGAAGAGCTAAATTCTTGAAAATCTGAAAAAAGTTATAATTTTATCTCATTATGAGGATTAACATGAAAATTTTCAAATGATCATTAATCGATACAGGATTTTGCGAATTACAAAATCTCTTTAATATTTTATTTCAATCGTTATTATCTATTAGACAAATTGCAAAGAAACTATCTTCACCTTTGAAAGTCAATCATTTTATCATTTTGAAGTTTTTTTTCAGATTTCTAATTTGCTCTCAATAGTAAAGCACAAGCAATTCAGGGTATGAGAACATATTGTTATACATGACGCTTCCAATATTCATACAACTGAAATGAAGTGAAAACTCTTTATCGAGATTTTTCTATAGATGACATGGGAAACAAGTTTACGTGAAAAATAACAGGCTGTTAAATCTTGTTTAAAAAAATTGAATATTATTAAATACAAAACGTTGTTCTTTCAACTGTAGTTTTTCTTTATCAAACTTATATAACTTATGAATAGAAAGAAATAATTCACACTGGCATAAATAGGTCACACTCACAGAAATACTCGAATGAATCTTATTAAAATTTCGTCTTTTCTCATATCTCGACTTGTAAGATATAATATTAACCAAGCAACGACTTTTTTAATCACAAATTTCATAATAATCGAATGATTTGCGGATTATTTTTATCAGTGAAAATCAAGAAAATAAGTGTTCTTGTTGATGTTTGAAGTGAATGAAAATGAAAATAACAAGATGACATATTCGAAGTTCGCCGTCAAATAGAAACATGATCGAAGAAAAGCTTAAAATAACGGATGGTCAAAAAAGAACTGTGCTCTTCTTATTTTCAAGTTTTCTTCTCTTCCTTTGACTCGATCAAACTGTTTCCTTTATCAAAAGACTATCTAAATAATTCTCTACAAAAATATACTTCAACTTCATAAAATTGATTTCTAAATACATATAAAGAAAATAAAAAGCAAATATATTCAACTAGTTGTAAAAATAAATATGAGAACGATGATACTTCGATAACGATATTTCAAAATTTGGCCGATATTGTTTTCATAAGTTGTTGAGGTTATTGTAAAAGAGAAGATTATTTTGTCTTTAAAATTAACTTCAATTAACAAAATGACAGACAAAAAGATTTATTCTACTGATGAGAATATCTGAAATCAAATCATATGATGAGATCTAATGTCAGACTAGACAGAAACCAGCATTGATTACTTGGATTCACCCTCACCCTCAAGATCGACAGGCAGGATGTACTACTTGCTGGTCACGAATAGCACTTCTTTCTTTCTCTCCTGCCCTCCTTTAAATCAATGATAAATAGACAAAGGATATTCTTGGTTCACAGAATGATTCTTCGGTTCACCCATCCATTATTAGCATGTGTGTCTACTGCACGTACAGTTTTTTTATACTGCACGGGTGCGAATATAATAGTATAAATAAATAATCAAAGTTTATTTTATTTAATCCAAATAAAAAGACAACCAATCAATTAATCACAAGCACATTCGTTCGTCTTGTTGTGCCAAAGTAGTTTTCACATTAGCGGAGATATTATTTTCTGAGAGATCTAATTCCAGCAGTGTTTATAAAAGATTAAGAAAATGTGAACGTGAGAAAAAAAAGATGTGTAGAAAATAAAAAAAATTCACTTTGTTGGTTTTTAATGCTTCGGCGAGGAACTGTGCCCCACTGTCTTTAATTTGATTGTTTTGAAGCTGCAGTATAGTGAGTGTTTGAGTGAAAAAGTGACGATGAATATGAATGTCAATTGATTAAAACTATTTCATCATTCTCTTTATCTAATTTGGTCATACAACTGAACAATTGGTCAACAGACAAGCAGAGACAAAAAGACGACAACAAAAGAAAACTCAAATGGCAGCAGCTAAATAGGTAAGACTTTTGCAGATCATGCCTTCGCTTGGAATTTCTCTCATAGCATCTCTTTGATTATATATTGAAATTATTCTACTTTAATGAAGGAAATGAACTAAATAAAGAAATGTGTTTGTGTTTTATCTTTTGCAAGTATCTCGTTTACCCTCAACCCTAAAGTAGATGTACTCTTAGATGTGAAATTATGTTCGTAAAATAAGATGTTTTTGATATCTTCATGACTGAATTGAAATGACAATTAGTTAGTGAACTTTTTTGGTGAGTGATACAGAAAGTCAGTTTTCATGAAAAATGACAGAATGCTAAGAATAAAGTGGACCACAAAAGTTTAAGACACTTTCTATTTTTTGATTGTTTCTTCGCAGGTAAGAAAAAATATATATCTTAAGATATATATATATGTAGTCATAATTGAGGTCTATATAATCCACTTATGCTCCATCAAATTGATCGTGAACTGAGAATGTATAGCGAAATACATTTTTTACCCTATAGTCAAAAGGGTTCAAAAAACACCCTCAAACATGTTCAACTTCGTCTTCGCTATTTTTTCACTTACCAATTTTGACGTATGCCATGGAGCAAGGTCTTGTTGAAACATGTACGACATTTTCTTTGGAAGTCGCGCAATAGACTTTTTTAATTCATTTTGTAGAACATCGCAATACAATATTCCGTTCATACTATCATCGAAAATTCGTGCCATTGTCGTTCCTTGTCCCGAAATACCACCCCATATCCCAATTTTCCCGCCGTTACCTGTATTCATTTGCTGTACACATTCAGGCAACAATCGTTCGTCATCAGATCGCCAAATTTTTACTTGATTCTTACGTTTTAACACATAGAAAGTTGATTCATCGCTAAATATAACTTTACGCCAGTCGTGAATGGTCCAATGTTGATATTGTTTACACCATTTAACACGGTCTTTCTTATGCTTCACAGTTAGCCACGGCTTTTTGATTTTTACAGCATATTCATAACCAAGATTTTTGAGATAACGACGCACAGTTTCTCGCGAAACTGGTTTTGGCCGACTAATATTTAAATCCATCCTAATTTTGCCCACACTTAATCGATTTTCACTTGTTACTAGACGTTTCAGATCACGTATATCTCGAGTAGAAAGAGCTTTTGGTCGACCAGATTGTTTCAAATCTTCAAATGTACCATGTTGTTCAAATTTGTTGATCGTATTTCGCTCGCAACAACGAGAAATTTTGAGTTCTCTTGATATGTCCGTCAAATTAAAACCAACTTGATGCAGAGCCACTGCTTGTGCCCGTTTATAAGGTTCTATTGGCTTTTCCCCCATTCAGTAGTTTTAAGTATAAGTATAAAATTGTATAGTCGCCTTTATAAAGCTATAAGCTGATTTGAAATAAATATTTGAATTTAAGTTTTGAGAGAAAAACTGCTAAAAAGCGAAAAGTGTCTTAAACTTTTGACTATAGGATAAAAAATGTATTTCGCTATACATTCTCAGTTCACGATCAATTTGATGGAGCATAAGTGGATTATATAGACCTCAATTATGACTACATATATATATATATCTTAAGATATATATTTTTTCTTACCTGCGAAGAAACAATCAAAAAATAGAAAGTGTCTTAAACTTTTGTGGTCCACTTTAAATTTCGATAATTGTTAAGTCCCCGAAATTACATGGAACAGTCGCACGCATCTATCCGATATGTTTCTTCTCCTTGAGTGATTGAAATATATCTGAGAACTTGAAAAGGAGTATCCGATGTGAAGAACTGTTCGAGGGGTTCGGTATACGATGGCTGTTGTATAGGGGTTTGAAAATCGAATAGAGTGAGCAAAAATTGTGCATTTTAAACTTTCAGTCGCTCATCCCATCCATTGTATGCTTTTTAGGTTTTTTTTTCGGCGCAAATACTCTAAATTTATAAGGTATTCATCAAAACTATCAACATAACAAAAGTTAATTTCTAAGATATTTTTCTATTTATTTTTACTAGACAAGAATTTCTAAAATATTCTGAATATTCTTATAGAGAACTAATCAACTTGCACATCATTTCAATAAGAAATTATTAGAAAAAAACAAAAAATATTTAACAAAGTTTCTGTAAACACAACGTCACTCTGTGCATCTATTGAATTTTAGTAATTAGTTTAAAACTAAGAGCCAATTCGAGTAAATAAAAACATTCCCATTCATAAATGCTTAATTAATCTTAATGCATTTTTCTAGAAAGAACAAGATCTTATCATTCAAAATATATTTTATTTTTGAAGTTTCTGAAATTAATCATAACTTAACAGGTAACAATTTTGGGTGTGGAGTGTGTAGATCGATGAGTGGATGTTGGTAGATGTAGGTTTTCTCTGTATTCTCACTAACACCCACCCACGAAAAATTCCTGGTCTTTGTAAAATGTAAATGTCATTGTTGAATTCGACATTGAGTACCAAATCAACACTTGAAAACCATAATTTTTGTTGTCAATAAAACTATCTGAGAGCTTAAACAAAACTTCATAAAGTTGAATCGAGTTCATGTTCTTACATAATGAAATGCACTAATCAGATCTTCCCAGTGTTCTCTGTAAAATTGCATATAATGTTCGTGTATACTTTTAAGTTTTGGATACTTATCCATCTAGAATAAAAAATCATAAGTATTTGATTGAATACGTAAAAGAGTGCACATTTATTCTAGATAGGAATAAAGCAATCATTAAATCAAAGATTTTTGTGGAACTCACATGTGTTTTTGAAGGTAATGGTGAGTAGAAGTTCTAAGTGGAAGTTTTCTGGCCCCCTTCCTCCCATATCATAAAGCATAGCAACGTAGAGTAAATCGGCTTGTCCACGTAACGCGACACTTCGCTGATCAAGTTTCGAAAAAATTTTTTTTCGAGTTGGACAAATCTGAATGAGTTACTAGATGCAGTTTTTAACGCTGATTACGAATTTGACAT